TCTGCTGACCCAAGCCAAAAAGCCTAATTGTTCCTTGGCAGATTACACACATCCGAAACTGAGCAACCAAAATACCTTATCCTAGAAATAACTTGCTTTGCAAACTAAATCCTGTTGTTTGCAGTCCTACAGAAGATGAAAAACCTTAATTTAGTAAGGTGGTTACAGCACTATCTCTGTGAGGGTTTGGGAGAAAATCAACTGGTCCTTACTCAAAGCCTAGTTGGTGCCTGGCACACAGTAGGCACACTCAAAACCTCATTTGCATTTGAAGCAAGCAGCATGCAAACAAAAACATTTGTGCTACATACCTTGAGTAAGATGGTTATGCATAAAACTGATAAAGTTCAGGAACATTGTTCTCATCCTCCTGTAATAGTTTTATTTCAAATGTATTTACCAGGGCAAATTAAACTCGGAAAATGACTCCCAATCTTCCCCAACTGTTTTCAAGGATTTTCTTGTTTTTAACTCAGCTCCATGTTCTTTTCTCAGTTTGTAAGGAAGAGGCCTTAACAGCCACTGGCAACTTGTATCAAGACAAACGAGCTTTCAACACCTTACGCTGTATTAACTATATATAAGGGTGCAGGGGGAGAGGCTGAATACTGACATCCTATTAAAAATAAAAGGAAAAGCAGTCTTGTCTCTTTTGCCACTAACTAAGTGGTCCTGGGCAGGTATCTCGGCCTAGCGTGCCCATCTGTTTGAAGGAGAGAAGGCAGTGATGGAGATGGTGCCTGTGGTCCCTTCCACTTCACATTTGAATCTAGGTCGACTCCTTTTCCTTATCTTACAGTAGAGCCAGTTTAGGCCAAAGACAACATTTCCAATAATGCTCTAATGTGTGTTTATTTTATTTAGACTCTAAATCAGTATTACAGAAAACTGATTAAAGGAGGGTGGAAAATTTAAGACCATTATAGCAGGTTGGAAGTCAAGTTAACTTCCCACCCTCCACTTCCTTCTTTAAATGAAGTTTTAAAAAGTCTTTATCAAGGTTCCCCTGTGGACCTTTTGGTATCATGTGCTGTTTATATAGAAATAATCCCACAATTTGCTTTTGAGAACTGCGCCCTAAAACCAAAATAGCTCGTGATACAACCTCTAAGTCATCATTTATTGATTTATAGAGCCCCCATCACATGATCCAGGTGCTTTACAATACAGTAAACATCACAACAGAACTCACATAGTTAAATACAATCAACAAATTACAGAACTAAAAACTGGAATGAAGCGACATTATGTCAAATTTCAAAGATGCTTAGAAGTGGCAGTACAAAAAAGGTAATTCCACCAACTGGAGACCAGACGGGCAAAGATACACAGGCACCACAACCCAAAATGGGCAGATTTGTAGAGGGTAAAATTTCATAACCAAGAATGAAGGCCATTAAAAAATACTATGATACCCAAGTGATCACAGAACCAGTGGAATAACCTCACAAAGATATTACCTTATAATGACAAAAAAACCAACCTCATATGGATTTTAAACTCACAAAGAGGCCAAACAGCCACTGAGATCATCTATCCCATTTTGAGCAGACTGAAATCTATAAGCCTTTTTTATAAGAACTTGAAATAAATTTAGGAAGCAGCCAACAGTTCTATAATCCATAAGACTATGGAAGATGTCAATAGTTGACACAAGGTTAGGGAGAAAAATCCTTTTCCTAAAGCAGAGAGGACTCACCTCACACTAATGGCAAGGCACTGGTGGGACAACAGCCACCTGGATCAGTGTTACCCAAGTGTGATTTAATAACAAATATAGAGGCATTTAAATTCACACTGTCAAATGAAATCTTGGAAAGGCACAGATGACACCTCTGACAGAGAAAAGAAGTCAAAACATCTATCAAGGCCTGTTTCCATCTGTAGCATGGTCAGGGCACCAGGTGGAAAGGAGTGTGAAGAAAGGTGCATTCATTTCTGGCTCTCCTTTCTACTCCCCTAGATCTAAGCCCTAAACTCATATGGTTATACCAAAGTAACTGCATTAAAGTGGCACTTAAAGTTTAAGAATAGTTGTCCCTGAGTTACTAGGTCATTTATTTGCCACTCCCTAAAAAGTCAAATCACTAGGTTTTAATTCAACAGATTGCTAGGCAGAATTTTAGCAATAGGAGAGCAAAATTCAAACTCCATTTTGTCACAATCACCACCGTGTGAACAATTTCTGATTTAAGTGTAAAGGGATTGCTTCAAAGTCCCAGGTAGGTGTGCAGTACTGGCACTTTGGGGCAACAATTCTTAAGTCTTAAAAAAGAAAAGAAAAAGAAAGTTCTTGAAGAAAATTGGACCACAATGAATATAATTTTAAAATTTCACATTCAGTCATTACACATTTATGAGTTTTTATAATGCTGCAGAGTAAACAGCCTGGGATTTAGAAAAAACCACCCTCTATGGTGACTACATCCTTAACCCTTTTTCTTCTGCTTAAAAAAGGACATGTAAAGTTCATAAAAGATTAGGCTACTTGCAGAAATCCTTTCACTATTCTGCCAAAAGTATTTCTCCAAACTCCACAAAGCAGAGATGCACCAATTCTCACTGATTCTCAAAATTAAACACCATGTCCCATCTGGTACTATCTCAAGTTCTATCCCTTATCTGCCAAAGACTATTTCCCAATCCCAACCTCACACCAAACAGAGAGGAATCTGGGCCTGCTTTTAACACTACTCATTTTACCATTTCCTGAAGTTGTTTTAGAAAACTCATGAAATATATTTATGCTCAAACATTAATAAAATCCAAATGCACTACGTCAGTGACAGAATCTATATGTCAAACAGCAAACATTTACACCTCCGTAATGCTTTGAGATTTGCATAAGAATCTAGATAGAGACAAATATATATATATATATATATATATATATATATATAT